TTGGTACGCATACTTCACTAATCAAGATCTTTCAAATCACATCAAGATCAATGACCTTGTGACCTTCACTGTGACCTTTATGCTAAAGATATGTTGTTTTAAAAATTTGTTGCCGCCGGGCGCATTAGTGTTTCACAAACACATCTTGTTAGCTTTTTCGTTTTAAGCGTGTATATTTCTTCTGATGTCAAAACTAAAGTGATGCATTTTTTTACGAGAGCTTGGGATTCTCTAAAAATATGTTTAAATTTTCATAGCTGAGTGTGCTAAATGGTGTGACTGCTGCGATTGTTGGATAGGAGGTACAGGCATCGATACTGATGGGGCATTGTGTCGTTATGTGTCGAGATGGATTCTGGGATGATTTAGATTGCATGTGCGAGATTGCATAAGTTTATTTGTGAGAAATTCTAATGCTTTTATAAAGTCAGATTTTTTAGATTGTATCATTTCAAAGAAGGTTTCTGAAGATTTTTTGTACGATGCCTTGGCTAAATACACGTTTAATACCTAAGATGGTACAAGTTCAATGGATCAAGGAATCAACAAGCTAATTCAAAAAAATTCAGTTCTGTCCCGCTTAGTGAAAAAGTCGGATTCCCTGACTGAATTTGTAGAATTATTAAATCTTTTTATATGGAATACTTATCACATTCTAATGATGATTTGATGAGTTTGTATAAGTCAGACCTAGTAATTTTTTTTTTATTTCACATGCTTAATACTATAATTTTGTGAAAAAAAGTATTTCGAGAAAAAACAGAATATGGATCGTCCGGGACCTCTCAAATGTGGAGCGAGAGACATACCGCTGAGACAACGGAACTGCTTTACTTCAACGAAAATTAATTGCAATGATGAAGTCACATACACGTACATGTATTTATATATTCACGTTCGATATTGTCAAAATTTTACACAATGCATGGTGTCTCATCTAACCTATCAAGCTAATAGCGACATGTAATACAATAAATACTAATAAAACAAACGGTGCGGGACAGTTTGAGAGAGATGAGAGAGGTCCTATGGAGTTTGGGTATAAATTTACATTGCAAAAGCTCAAAATACTCTTGAAATATCGCCCGGAAAGAAAAGTGTAACATACAGATATAATGTATAAAATTACGACCTTGAACTTTGCCATTTTTACCTAAAAATCATTAGGAGTCTTCCTTAGGCCACAGGGAGTTGTAACATGTATGTCAAAAGCTCCAAGGGTTCTTGAGATATTGCGCAGAAACGAAAGTGTTTCAACAGAGAGAAATTGCAAATTTATGACCCTGATCTTTGACTTTTTGACCTCAAAATCAATAAAGTTCTTTATTCGTCCATAGGACATTGATATGCAAAATTCCATTTCGAAAGTTCAAAGGGTTCTCGAGATATCATGTGGAAACGAAAGTGTTACAGACCGACAGAATGGCGGACGGACGAACAGACCCAAATAAATATCCCCCTCTTTCCAAGCGGGGACAATCAATGGAAAATAAACTAATTGTATGCATTATCATTGAATTGAGTACTCAAAAATCTTTGTATAAACGTGAATATATTGTGCAATGCGTAAGGTTGTTTAAGTAGATCGATAAAATGTATATAGAAGGTCATATTGAATGGCATGTTGTAAAAATATTTAAGGAAGGAAGCTTATTTCAACTTTTGTTATACGATATAATATAACTTTGGGCAGTTTACGCTTTATAAACCGCGAAGCGGTATGATTTTTTTTTCATGAAAAATACAAATGAAACCAATCTCATGTCATTTCAAATATCTGAGACGATTGAATATATCAGTCTACTCTGTTGAGAGTTATTGAAGACTGGAAATATGCCCTGGATAAAAATGAATACACTGCAGCTATTTTAATGGATCTTTCCAAGGCCTTTGATTGCCTTCCCCATGAACTACTTCTTTTGAAGCTAAAAGCCTATGGACTATCTGAATCAGCACAAGAAATGCTTTATAGCTACCTCTCACATAGAAAACAATGTGTTAAATTAGGGCATCATGTTAGTGACATGTTAAACATTATTAAAGGTGTCCCACAAGGATCTATTCTTGGTCCCCTGTTATTTAACATATTCATAAATGACCTGTTTTTCTTTGTAGATAAATGTAACCTCTACAATTATGCAGATGATAACACCCTATCAAAGTCTGATAAATCTCTAGAACAGGTGGTAGCAGCTTTAGAACATGATAGTAGATCTCTCATTACATGGTTCTCTTCAAATAAAATGCAGGCCAACCCTGAAAAATTTCAGGCAATTTCTATTGGAAATAAAACACAAAGTAAAAACATTGTATTTGATTTAGATGGAATCAAAATTCCTTGTGAGGATGAAGTTAAGTTGCTAGGTATAACCATAGACTTTAAGTTGTCTTTTGATACACATATTACAAATATGTGCAAAAAGGCTGCAAGGCAATTAAATGTTCTTAAACGGTTAGGAAAGCACTTAACAAAGTTAGGAAAACTTACAATATATCACTCTTTTATCATGTCAAATTTTAGTTATTGCCCCTTAACATGGCATTTTTGTACTGAGCAAAATACTCGCAAAATAGAGAAAATTCAGGAAAGAGCATTAAGATTTTTTACAGAAGATTATAAAAGTTCTTATGAGAGTCTTTTACATAAATCTAAACTACCATCTTTGAAAACCAGAAGAATGCGTGCCATTGCTATAGAAACCTTTAAAATTTTACAAGGTTTAAGTCCTGTCTTTTTGCAAGATCTGGTTGTTTTTAAAAATAATTCATACAATTTTAGATATACAAATACTGCAGAGGTCCCAAGACCAAGAACAACAAGGTATGGGATGAAATCATTTAGGTATGAGGCAGCAAAGCTCTGGAACTCTCTACCCAATGAAGCCAGGCAATTCTCCTCATATAATAATTTTCAAATTACATTTCAACTTGGTGCGGAGAACTAAATTGTAAATGCAGCTCCTGCAGACTTCAGACTTCTATGCCTCATACCTAATTTTCAGTTTTATAGATGACCGTCTTAAGTTATTATTTATTTATTTATTTATTTTTACAGTATTGTGCTTTCTTAACCATTCCTCCTTGTTTGTGTGCATGACTTTTGTTTTAAGTACTTGTTGTTCTCTTATGTTGACTCTTTTATTTTTTTTGTGTGTTGCTCAAATGTTTTGTCTTTTATTTCTTTCTTTTCTTTTTATGTCTGTTTATCAATGTCTTTGGTTACAATTGTGTGTTTAAATGAACTTCTGTCTTTGTGAAACTTTAATGTGATATTTGTGCTCTTGTGTGTATATATGTACATTTTATTATATATATGTTTTTATGTTTCTAGTCGGTAAAAGGGCTTTATAGCTCATGTTCTCTGTTATGTGTATGTAGTCCCATATAAATAAAATTTACTTACTTACTTACTTATCGATTTTATTTGACACATATCAGTATCGTTCTGCTGAATCTTATTTCAGGGAATATGCATTGCTATATATTTCTTACCCATTTGAAGGAGACGCTATTAATGACAAAAGCAACTGTAAAGCATGCATTCTGTATAATAAGAATGTCATATTGAGGAGGCGGACACATACCTGATTTTTTTCGTCTTTCATTCTGCGTAGTGCTGATAGCTTATGTCATGTAATTTAAACACACAAAGCTAATTTTAAAAAAAAACTACTCATCACGAGGATATTTTTTTAATCAAACAAAGATAAAAAATAGAAAGGGAATGAATGAAACCGGGGGGCAGATGCCATTTTTTATTTGTCAATCGATTTACATTTATATTTTGAAAAACCAGTAGGGATATGATAATATTGTAAATATTTAGACTTTTAAAGTTAGTTCTTAAGAAAGGACACAGAATTCCACAAATTATCAACCTGGCTTGATTTTTTTTAAATCAACACAAAATGTAAGAAAGATAATCAAATCAAGCTTCTTTCGTATGTTTTTAAAATTCTTTTGTCTTGCTCAGGAATGCACCCAAAGGCGTGCAATAACTAAACAAAATATGATTCAGTTTATTATATAAGGAATGTGATTCCTATAGATTTTATGAAAGACAATCATTTCAATTGTAAAAATATGTGATGATTATTAAACCCCATGTTACCTATGTCTTCATTCTTAATACAGATCGCAACAATAAGGAATTGTTGTCATTTAACTTTCCTTTGTTAAAAGAGACACAGTTTTTCCAGAGAAGCTAATTTTGATTTGAAAATCTTCTGCAACTAAAAACTTCGAGCGAACTATTTTAATTTGAAATTAAATGGAAGTCAAAAGAGTTGAGGTCCTTATTCATACATGTAGAACGAGCTTTCAGAGGTAACGCTTCAGTCGACGTTGAGTTTAAAGTTTATCGATCAGCACGTCAAGCTTAGATGCACAATAAAGGAATATGTGTGCAGCTATGGGAATCGTTGTTTAACAGCACCAGGACGACTAAGATTGTACAGGTTTAACTTTTTATGCAGTAAGTAACTTTCATGCATAATTAAAGTAAATGCAACTTGATTCGTGTTATGCGGCAAGATTTTATTTTCATAAAACTCTTTAAATGAAGGAAGTTGCATTTTGCACTTATGAATTCAAGGTGTCATTTGCTTAATACGTGTAGGTCAATGACGTTTTAATTTTGTTAAAGTTGTGGAGTAAGATCATCTTTAAAATGATGTTTGTTTACAATGTTCTGACACAGGGAGAAAGGAATGGGCCGGTAGTTTGGTCGAAAATTCTTTATAAGGAAGACTTCGTCTCTGTTCATGGGGTGAAAAAAAACAGGAATAAAGAAAATATTGTCTTCTGAATAATAAAAGAAATGTTGAGTCGTGCCAATTTATCCAGTCGTTGGAGAGAAGAAAGAAACAACCCTCTATAATGATGGCTGAATGTTGCTAAGAATACTGGCTATTCGATTCTGGTGTTACATTTATTGTAGAAAATATTTTAAGAACGTGAACACTTTTGATATGTTTTAATTTTTTTTCAAAATTATACAGCCTTAAATGGGGGAGGAAAAACCATTAAAAGTGGGAGACATCATTCGAAAGTTTTCGAGGTGAGTTTTACTTTTTTATATACGTATTTTTTCGATGCAACATAATTATTTAAGGGATGAATTTAATACATGTATCTACCCATGGAAAAACATACTTGTGTAACATGGGAACAAATGAACTTGCACAACAACAAAATTTATAAGTTGATAGTAATATTATTGGTAATAGTGAAGATGAACTTGAAAACCAGGATGTTTCGTGTAATATACCAATTATCAAAATATCTATAAACTAAAAAACAATATAAAATTATCTTAGAATTATCTTAATTTCGATGAATAAACGAAACAACATTTATCAATCTCTTAATATTGCTGATCATGGATTATGAACGAAGAACATGCATTAATTTTCTGTTCTGTCTTTTCTTCTTAATATTTTAAATGGAGCAGTCAGTCGGATTTGACCACGGACAGCAAACCTCAAACTACACAGTACAGGTTTGTAAGCTTGAATTTTTTCTATTTATTCATTGTATTGATTAAAAACGAGCCGTATCTATTGATTTATTAAACTTACGATCAATCCATGTAATTGTTTGTGGCAGACTGCCAACGTACAAGGCCCAAGATTCTGTGTAAAAAAAATCAATGAAACATGCATTTTCGAACGGATTACTTCGCACAACTGCAACATTAAAATGCTATATGACAATCGTGATGACTTTAACTTTTCTATCGTCAACTTCCCTTACTTATGCAGCAATATACCTTCATCACCTGCATACGGATTGTATATATCTCAGTTGATTCGATACGGAAGAACATGCTCTACGTATGATCAATTTCTAAAAGGAGGTAAATTATTGAAAAACAAGTTGATGCAACAGGTATATCAGCAGTCTTGTTTAAAGGCATCATTTCGTAAGTCTCTGGTCGGTACAATTACCTTTTCAGCAAAAACAACTTATCATTAAGTTAAATGCTAACTGACGTTTATCATACTAATTGTTAGTCCATTATTTATTCACTGAATTAAAGACGGATTTTTCCGTTATTACACGATCATGACAATGAGCACACGGCGGGTGGGACCGGTCAGCAGGGGACGCTCACTCCTCCATGGCACCTGATCCCATCTCTGATGTTTCGGGGGTCTGTGTTTGATCTGCTCTTGTTTGTACTGTTTTATGGACTTTGAGATTGAATACTGTTCGTTACAAATGTATCTCCATATATCCTTCGTGCAATTGAGCAACATAGAACAAATTAAAAAAAATAGCATTTACATGTATATGTTCAATTTCAAATTTTAGCCAAAAATATGAATTCAATGCTTATATTTACATTCTCTAATTTTCCTTCTTCATAATTGCTTATTTCATTAATCTTTAATGTGAATTTAGCGCCCTTCTAAACTGACGTGTTTAATAGACGTAAGAGCCGCTTGTGACGTCAGATGACGTTGCAAAGTTAAATAACGCAAACAAACATTGCGAGGAAAAAATGACACATTAATTTTAAACGCAAATTTGTAGTATTTTACGTTAATCTAACAGGTTTATAGTTTTCAATTAAATTGAGTCAAAACATTGTACATTTTGTTGTTCCTAGATTATAGAAATTTGCATATAGTTCCTTCTGTGTACTCTAAGGCGTGGTGACAAGTTTTCGCGTGTGTTATAGAAATTTGAATGCCGTGGATTTCTAATGAATTTCATAAGTAAAAATATACGGAATGTAAATATTTACTGTTAAATCACATATTTTTGTGGGGTCAAATTTTCGTTGTTTGAAGAAAAACTCTTGGTTTGAGGGGATTTGATTTCATTAATGAAGAATTGTTGAGTAGTTACGCGTGCAACATTTTACCTTTCATGGTTGACATCCATTATTGTGTCTCTTCATACCTTATAAACAATCATAATTAATTCCAACGAAAATTGGTGATTTTACAGTTGTCAAAAGTCACAATATGACCGACGTATAATTTTTAAAAAAATGTAATTTTAAGATTATTTATTGAAAAGACATTTTGTTATTCTATTTTCTTTTCTCCTTTAACAGGAAAAATCCATCGGCTCATGAATCTCCTGCACAGACGTCTCAAGTGTATGTATGTTCTTTGCTTTGTTTAATCTTGAACCAGCCACGGTAGCCTCGCAATAAGGTACTCACTATGTGATCAGGGGTCTGGAAGTATTTCTAATCTGTTGCATTTTATCAAACATACGACGTGAACAAGGAGACAGGCCATCCTTCTCCAACAGTATTAAAACTGAAAGTCAAAATCCCTTGTTACTGTAGGTTTTGGCATGATAAAGAACCCTAAGTGCTATATAGGCTTTTAATGATTAATAATGGTCTAAAGTTAAGTCTTTTTATAAGTTTAAATATTCAGGATGTGATGCAAATGAATATACACAGTGACTGTACAATAAATCAATATTTGTGTTTGATATCACAAGATAGAAAGTTCTTGATATCATAAGATAGAATCTTCCATTTTAGGACTCAGGCACAGGTGGCAAAGATTGCGGAACCTTCCCTATATCAGAATGTTTCTAGTGAACCTATTGATATAAATGAGTTGAGAAAGAAAAAACCTCACATAGCATTGAAACCATTCTGTGAGGCATCCCCTTTCACAGAGAAATTAGAAAAGGTGAGAAATACATTATATATGAACAGGTGCCCTATTAAGCAAAAGCCTAAATGCACATTTATTGAATAAGGTCATTGAAAAAAAAGCTGATAATTTATAAGGCAAATCTGTTGTATTTTATTTTTCTTTAGAAAACAACAAACATCTGACGAGTATTTTAATAAAAAGAATTGAAAAATGATACAGTTTGAATTTTTCAAATGGTGTACATTTCATGGTATATGGAGTTAAGTATTGTAAATTTAGCTTTTAAATGATTTTAACGTTTTGTATTCAGATGTGACGTTTTCTTATCCTGTTTAAGTAACTGTTTGATTTGAAATGACAGGATACTTAAGGCGTAGACAAATCATATAAAATACTATGTACTTATAAGACTATACGTATTTGTAAAAATTTACCAGCACGTTTGAAACAATACGAAGTGACAATGTGCTGGCGTTAAACGTGACGATGTGTTGTGAAAAGCTGTGTAAGCGACCGAGCGTGATTGCCTTTGTATGTAAACGTAACGGTATATTATTTTTGCTCGTTGTTTAAAGTTGTGTTATCGTGACCGTGTGTTGTGTGTTCAGGCGACGAATGAAGCTAACATCGCGCCTGCGTGTTTTCTCTTTGTGCTAGCGTTGTCACTTACAAAAGAACAACGTGCAGCTCCCTTCTGAAAAACGCGCTATCACGTTGTCACTTTGCGCTAGCGTTTTGTTACACCCCACTAGCGCTTTGTTCCTAACTCGTGGTTACAAATTTGCAAATGACTCTATCGGGACATTATACATATTTGTCAAATTTCCGTATTTTTGCTATTTTATTTCCAATTCTTATAAGGTTAAGGAATATTTTCGTTCAGATTTTAAATATTCTTATTTTTCCTGTAACAACCGCTTGTACTGACTCGATAAAGCTCACCTAATGAACAAAGGTTTATTCAGTTAATGGCATTATAAAGAATCGCCCATGTGTTTCGACGGTCTGGAAGGTTTACTACGTCAACCCTGTCTGCTGTTACACTTTTTAGCTCACCTGAGCCGAAGGCTCAAGTGAGCTTTTCTGATCAAAATTTGTCCGTCGTCTGTCGTTGTTGTTGTTGTTGTCGTTGTCGTTGTCGTCGTCGTTAACTTTTCACATTTTCATCTTCTCCACAAGAACCACTGAACCAATTTCAACCAAACTTGGCACAAAGTATCCTTGGGTGAAGGGGATTCAAGTTTGTTCAAATGAAGGGCCACGCCCTTTTCCAAGGGGAGATAATCATGAATTAGAGAAAAATTATTGGCATTTTTAAAAAATCTTCTTCTCAAGAACCACTGGGCCAGGAAAGATGAAACTCATGTGGAATCATCCTCAGGTAGTGTAGATTTAAGTTTGTTCAAGTCATGACCCCCGGAGGTAGGGCGGGGCCAAAATGGCCGATCAAAGTTTTACATAGGAATATATAGGAAAAATCTTTAAAAATCTTCTTCTCAAGAACCACTGGGCCAGAAAAGATGAAACTCATGTGGAATCATCCTCAGGTAGTGTAGATTTAAGTTTGTTCAAGTCATGACCCCCGGGGGTAAGGCGGGGCCAAAATGGCCGATCAAAGTTTTACATAGGAATATATAGGAAAAATCTTTTAAAATCTTCTTCTCAAGAACCACTGGGCCAGGAAAGATGAAACTCATGTGGAATCATCCTCAGGTAGTGTAGATTTAAGTTTGTTCAAGTCATGACCCCCGGAGGTAGGGCGGGGCCAAAATGGCCGATCAAAGTTTTACATAGGAATATATAGGAAAAATCTTTAAAAATCTTCTTCTCAAGAACCACTGGGCCAGGAAAGATGAAACTCATGTGGAATCATCCTCAGGTAGTGTAGATTTAAATTTGTTCATGTCATGACCCCGGGGGGTAGGGTGGGGCCAAAATGGCCGATCAAAGTTTTACATAGGAATATATAGGAAAAATCTTTAAAAAATCTTCTTCTCAAGAACCATTGAAACAGGAAAGATGAAACTCATGTGAAATTATCCTCAGGTAGTGTAGATTCAAGTTTGTTCAAGTCATGACCCCGGGGTAAGGGTGTGGCAAAAATGGCCGACCACAGTTTTACATAGAAATATATAGGGAAACCTTTTTAAATCTTCTTTTCAAGTACTTCAAAGCCAGGATTAGTAATATTCTGTCATATGAAATCATCCTCAGGTAATGTAGATTCTAGTTTGTTCAAATTATGATCCCCTTGGTGGTTAAAATTCAAGCCCTCCCCCCCTCTCAGTAAACTCGGTTCTGATCTGATATGTGTTTTTTCTGAGCTGATGTGCTCAGGTGAGCGCTGTGGCCCCTGGGCCTCTTGTTATTGTATCGCTTCATAGATTCAACTTAAAAGATGTGAATAAATCTGCTGATAATAGCTCGATTTTGATGTAAAATGTAGTATATGATACAGGATAAACAAAGGACATTTTATCTTCTTGAAATGTGATTGTACTATGTGGGCTCAGGTACAACTGTGACGGAGGACTCGGCAAGTCTTGTACTCTATCCTACCTCAATCTCACGTTACCTGAAAGACAGTAACCATGTGTTACAAATATTTCTTATGTTCTTTTTTTCGCCAATGTATACTTGTAAATTTATCTTATTAAAATCATTCCTTTTTAAAGTAAGTCTTAGAATTATAATTCACATTTGATTGAAAATTGTCGCAGACAACTGTTGCATCGAACCTTAACATTAATATAATATTAAATGTAAAGGGTTCTTTTAATTTTAATTATCAAGAAAAACAAACATCTATTACGCTCTTGCAAGCAAAATGACCCAACATCTGTCAGACAACTGTCACATTATAAAAAAAAACTGCACTATGAATTTGTAGATTGAATTAATTTTTTTTTGTTTTTCTATCTTCAGACCTTAGAAAAGTCGAGCAAAGATCAGAAATCGCCTGATGGTGGCAAAATACAAACAAGGTATTGTTTTAAGCGCATCATTAACTAACCTTACACTTGAGTACTAAGATTCTTCTTTACTTGCTTATGG